AGGGCTTAGGGTTTTTAGGGTTCAGGGTTTTTAGGGTTCAAGGGCTTCGGGTTTAGGGCTTAAGGGTGCAAAAGGGTTTTCTATACAGTCTACGGTTGGGGCTTGATTTTGGGCCTTTGGGGTCTAGGGTTTAGGGTTTAGGGTTTCGGGTTTAGGGTTTAGGGTTTAGGGTTTAGGGGTTTCCAACAGCCAAGTGAGAGCATGGCGTGGGATTGGCATTTGGGTGCTCACATACCCGATTGTAGCCACAAAATAGCACAGTAGATTGGGACAAAGTGGACACTATAAACCCCTTATATACGATGGCACCTCTGCCTCCACCGCAGGTGCCGTACGATCAAGGGCAAAGAATTAGTCCTTATATCCCGAAGGCTGGTTTGAGTAAATTACAAAGTACAGTGACAAGCAAGATTTTAGGTAAACTTGGCCTCTCAAGCTGCAATGTCGGGAATCACCAGCGAGCAGTTTAAATAGGGCACCAGCACGCGCGACTGAAAAAAATAGCACAATCATGACGAAACGTGCCAAACACCGTGTCTCGTCAATATAGGGTTTAGGGTTTAGGGTTTAGGGGTTTAAGGGCTTAGGGTTTAGGGTTTTTTTAAAGTGCCCTGAGACTTTCTCCCTGCTGAGGTCCAGTCGCAGCCCTGTAGGCCAGACACTACAAACAACATAAAATCCTCCTCAGCTCTCTTACAGTTGCCAGTCTCGGGTTTAGGGTTTAGGGTTTAGCGCTTAGGGTTTGGTGTTTAGGGACTAGACAGAGCTTGCATAAGTTTCTACAGGGAGTGGCGGCTCCAGGACCCAGGGTAGCCTAGAGCCTTTGGGCTTGAACAGTTCACTCCCTAAACCCTAAACCCTAAACCCTAAATCCTAAATCCTAAACCCTAAACCCTAAACCCTAAATCCTAAATCCTAAGCCCTCAACCCCTAAACCCTCTAGTGTCGCCGAAGGCGACAGTTGTGATCACTCGGAGATGGCTCTTCTCTCCCCTTCGCCTCTTCAGGTTTAGGGTTTAGGGTTTAGGGTTATGTGGACAACCGCTGGTTTGAAAGACTCATTCATGAGACTGCATGTCTTGGGAAACACAACACAACCGCGCACTAGTGGTTACGGCTTTAAGGCTTTACAGCTATAGGCCGCTATGGAGTTTGGGCTTTAGAGTTTCGAAGCTTGCCTCATTGAGAACGCCCGCAGCTAAAGTTTTGCGGAATCTAGGCTTGTTCGTTAAACCCCAAACCTTCAACCATCACACAAACGCAAGACTCTTCTGTTCAGGTGCCTTTTCCAACCCCAACCCCCAAAACCCTGACGTCAGCCTCGAAGTTATTATCCTTCTCCATACATGCTTGCCTGGTCCCCTTGATGCAGGACACCCTGTCCTCCGGGCGCACATTGCACTCCTGGGGCGCCGAAGAGGCAGCCAAAACCGACAGAAGCACCGCCTGTTTTCTGCGGGTGTTGAGCTTCTTTGCTGATTTTCGTGTGTATGGCCCAGGGATCAGACTAGAGCATGTTGGGTGTAGGATGCACGCTTGGGATTTTGGGTCGGTCTGTCTCTGGTTAAGGGTCTTAGAATGTCGGATTTCGGGACGAGCACTTCGGCTTGCAGGACCGACTGTAGACATTCAAGGCCATCGGCTGGAATCCTGGAGGTGAGGGACTTCTTATGAAGGTCTCGGCGCTTCATAAGGTAGGGTTTAAGGTTTAGGGTTTAGGGTTTAGGGTTTAGGGTTTAGGGTTTAGGGTTTAGGCTTTTGGGTTTAGGGTTTAAGGTATGAAAAGTTTGCACAAAATGGGGGACGGAGCTGCTGTTTGTACAGGAACTTGGGAGGATCTTCGCCCTGTGTACACCGGACCGGGTCCTGAAGATTCCGAGCTGCACCTTTGTCAACTTAAAGGATCATGGGACTTAGTAAGTAGGGTTTAGGGTTTAGGGTTTAGGGTGTAGGGTTTAGGGTTTAGGGTTTAGGGTTGAGGGCTTACTTAAAGGATCATGGGACGTAGTAAGCAGGGTTAGAAGGTTTGTAACTATACTTATAACCCCAATTAAGGGACTTATAACCTTACTTACCAAGTCCCATGATCCTCCAAGGACCCTAAACCCTAAACCCTAAACCCTAAACCCTAAACCTTACTTACTAAGTCCCATGATCCTCCAAGCAGCTTCAGGAGCTACTGAGCCGAAGCCTAAGCTCTGAAGCCTAGAACCCTAGAACCCCGAAACCCTAAAGCCTTATTAACACCCTAAAACCCACAAACCCTAAACCCTAAACCCTAAAACCCTAAAACCCGCAAACCTTAAAACCCGAAAACCCTAAAACCCTAAAAACCACCAACCTTAAAACCCTAAAACCCACAAACTTTAAAACCCTAAAACCCTAAAACCCACAAACCTCAAAACCCCAAAACTACGATGAAGCCCGGGCTCTCCGGCGAGGTCTCCCCCTGAGCTCTGGGGTTAAGTTTGGACCCCAGGAAATCGGGTTTAGGGTTTAGGGTTTA